GAGTGAGGGCCAGCTCCAACAGTATCCTGAGCATGATCGCAAGCAGGCTGGACTGTGTATACATGGGTCGCTGTGGTGCCATCTCCCATGGGATGTTACGACAGTAATTCATTGTGATGTAAATATAACTACTAACATAGGTCTAAGTCTTATTAACAATTTATATGAGTCATGGTTACTTGCAATAAAAACATTATTATTATTATTATTATAACAACAATCGTAAAAATTCTGAGATTGGAATGGTTTGTAATAAATAAATCTTTGTTTAATCTAATATATGTATCAATGGTTTGCTTAAATCAATTTAGTTCTAAATCGTAATTAGTCAGTCTACTATTCATTAAGCATGCGACTATCTCATAGATACAGCCCACTGAGTTTCTCGTCGGATCTTCTCAGTGGGTCGCGTTTCGATCCGGTGGTAGATTTAGCGAAGCACTGTCCTTGCTTAAGCTAGTTTTAGCAAATTCGCCAGACTGCGCCCTGTGAGTTCGCCTACACGTTCGGTGAGGCTAACATAATCCTTCAAGGTTACTAGAATTGGCAAAATGCGTCTATTTCTCAAATGGTTGTCGTGTTATTTTCCTCAAACATTATTTATGTAGAATTGGTAAGAACGGAACGTATGATGAGAGTGTGAAACGGAGCGTTAAGATGTGAGTGAGAGAAAATGGAAAGAAAGGGAGAGGAGAATGACAGAGGAAAGGAAGATGGCGAAGACGGTTAGAAAATGAGCAAGGCGTACATAATAAAAGTGTTAATTAACTTTTAAATTATTATTATAACAGAAGATTTTGGAACAGTGGGAGTTTTATTTTATGCGCTGCGATCACTATTCTATATTTATCTTCTTTTTCTCCACTTTATCCTACTAGGTGGGATCGGCACAGCTAATTTTTCTCTTCCATTCTCTTCTATCAGCCGTCTTCGCAACACTCACTCCTCTCTCTCTCATATCGTCATTCACACACTCCATCCATGTCTTCTTCGGTTGACCTCTTCCCCCTCTACCTTGCACTACCATTTCCATACATCTCCTAGTCACGTGCATCTATTCTACATTTACGCATATCAAATTTTTCAAATCCCTAGAACTTCATCCTAAGTCCTAAACTGGAGTACTCGAACTCCTCAAAAGCCTCGTACGTGAACCGCTTCCAAACACCGATCAATTTTTACCAAACGTATCCATCCGGCAATAAAAACCGCCCTTAAAAATCGAAAAGCGAAAACGACGGATTATTCGGGTATGCGACAGAACAATAAAAAAGTTTACTGACGACCCACGGAACCAATCCGGAACGATATACATACATTTGGCGGGTAATAAAATATCTCTCCCCTAACCTACTTCTATAAGGCAAAGACTACATAACATTAAATCAGACACGAATTATTATTTTTTGTAATAAGTGTGGATATTAAATCTATTGTTACTCAGTGAAAAATTATTATTCTGGATTTCATATCTCTTAAAATTCATTGTATTTTTATTTAATTACTTTTCTAATTTCAAGATGTTGTCAACTATTCCACTGTCCATTGCTCCTATAATTGAGGTGAGATCTGTCATGTACTTATTGTTAATTTCTCAATGGTTTTTAATGATGATCTCTTCTACTGACCCAATATCGTGTCCCCTCTTTATGATATCCTTCCGAAAGACATCCCCCGGCCTATTAATAATATTTTTATATACCTTTAGTAAATTCTAAGCTCTTTTATGTAAATTTTTATCTATTAATAATATTTAACTTGAAAGTAGTTAGTCTAGCATATTTGTTTGTGCTGTTCTTAAAATTACAGATTTGCGTATGGAAAAACTGATCAAACTTATTTGTATTTAGATATTTTTTTCTCTAAGCGCCTGTAATTTTTGTGTTTTAATGTGAATACAGTACTGTAAATTGCTTTAACTATAACATGTTAAAATTTTAATAGTTATTATACAACAAACCTTACAATATTAAATACCTAGTTTTCATTACAGCTAAACTTCTTAACGTGTGTAATTTCGTGCTTACAAGGTTTCTGAAGGCCGAATTTAAAGTTGTAAAAAAACTGAAAATATGAAACAACCAGTCTGTCGAATACTCTATGACCTTTTATTACGAAACATGATAACTTTCGGATGATTTATGTGACTCTGAGCGGCCAAAGAAAATAGGCAACCAGGGTTGTTTGCGGAAGAAGTTTTCCACACAAACTTACACCAGATTCATTGAATTCTTATCCAAAATTAAAATGAAAAAAATTCACGTACCACTGAACTCAAAACTCTAAATTATAAAAAAAAAAGAAACATATAATAATAAATATTTACTGACAACCACGCCACGTTAACTAGTCCCGTGGTAAGTTCGTAAAGAACTTGTGTTACAGGTACCAGATAACGGAAATAAATGTAAGATTTTTTATTATACACATACATATATTTAATATACATCCATAACCATAATTTTACTGGTGGTAGGACCTCTTGTGAGTCCGCGCGGGTAGGTACCACCGCCCTGCCTATTTCTGCCGTGAAGCAGTCATGCGTTTCGGTTTGAAGGGTGGGGCAGCCGTTGTAACTATACTGAGATCTTAGAACTTATATCTCAAGGTGGGTGGCGCATTTACGTTGTAGATGTCTATGGGGTCCAGTAACCACTTAACACCAGATGGGCTGCGAGCTCGTCCACACATCTAAGCAATAAAAAAAAAAAATAACCCTGGAAAAGACATTTTAATATTATTCATACAAAATATCTTCCCTTGGCGGGATTCGAACCCGCGACCACCTTGTGTCGTGACCATGTCACTTACCACTACACCAGACGGCCGTTGGTTTCGTTTGACGACCTTTGACGCTTGAGGTTCATTTTTGGGGCCCCGTAGCCAAATGGGAGCTTTTATAACTTTAGCACCTTCGTAATTGTCTGTTTATCGTTCTTTGCAAACGTAAGCTTTGAAGTCGTCATGGCCTAAAGCGATGCGATTATACCGGTGTTCCAATCCCGTAGGCGGCTACCTTATTTCCTAATGAAACACAAACGGAGCTGCTTTCACGAATGACTTCCACGATGAAGGAATAACAAAAACATATAATTTACCTAATTGCTATAGAATTGAGACACAATTCTCAAAACCCGCTGAGTTTCTCGCCGGATCTTCTCAGTGGGATTCCGATCTGGTGGTTAGCTCTGCGAAGCACTGCTCTTGTTAGGGCTGGTGTTAGCAAACTCTCAGTTTTAACGAGCTCATCTACCACCGTAGCAGGAATAGCCACATAGGCTACCAGCTAATACGGGAGGAAAAAAAACACAAATATCACTATACTGAGACCTTAGAAATAACTATACTGAGACCTTAGAACTTATATCTCAAGGTGGATGGTGCATTTACGTTGTAGATGTCTATGAGCTTCAGTAATCACTTAACACCAGGTGGACTGTGAGTTCGTCCACCCTTCTAAGCAATAAAAAAAAATCTACAATGTCCAGACTATTTACATATTACCGAAGAGTTGCAAATATGATTTATTATTGCGCAAAAATATCGAACGGGTTTTACTTTTCGCTTAATATAATATATTGTATTTCAATACTTTCAATGCTTTGGTTATTGTTCTTGTATGTATGTTTGTTTGTACGTAACGGAAATTTGGAACTTCATTATCACCAACTTTAAGACATCCCATTAACTTGATAACTTGCAAGCGCTTGAAGGACCGCCGACAATACAATAATTTTATTTTGCGCTGATATCCTGACCAGTATCGACAGCATAAAAACACTTAATCTTTTGTTAGTTCGGTTCGCTAATTAAGCGTGTCAGTGTTTTAGTTAGCTTTTAAACTACAAAGCGAGGGATAAAACGCTATTTAGTTGCAAGGAAATTGCACAATTGCACGGAACCGTCGCCATCATGATTTAAAAAAATTAAATTGCTGTTTCCCTTCAGACAATGCCCTGATATATAGGCACGTACTAGTGCGTAAAAAAGCATTCTCAGCTAAACGATTGCAGCCATTAAAAGCGTGTGTTTAAATTTAGACTTCGAAATGACAACGTTAATTTTGTTCCCAAATGAAATCGGGGAGGACATTACGCTGCCTCGTTGCAAGCTATCGGCAGTGTAGCGCGAATTATAACCATTTTCTGCTCTAATTGAAGTACTTTTGTCAGCGAACGCGTATTCCGTTTTGGCAAATTTCGTATTTTAATTTCCGTATAATACCTACACCTGTTAAATTAGGTCAATGAATACAATTTGTTCGTTCTCAATTTATAATTTAGATGGGTGGACGAGCTCACGTCCGATCTGGTGTTAAGTGGTTACCGGAGCCCACAGATATCGACGACGGAAAAATTTCATTCATCTCGAGACACAAGTTCTTAGTCCCAGTTTTATATATAACGTCTGCCCCACCCTTCGGACCGGAACGCATTACTGCTTCACAGCAGAAATACGCAGAGTGGTGGTACCTACCCGTGCGGACTCACAAGAGGTTCTGAAGTACTCTCAGTTATTCCGGCTTATCCATGATATATAAAAAACTGAGAAATGCCTTAATTTATAATGTAATTTAAGAAATATAATACTATTTTATCATGTTTGTTAAATCAAACAAAACACAATTCAAAGATCCCGCCTATTTCTGTCGCGAAGCGTTTGTTTTCGTTACTGGTGGTAGGACCTCTTGTGAGTCCGCACGGGTAGGTACCACCCCCCTGCCTATTTCTGCCGTGAAGCAGTAATGCGTTTCGGTTTGAAGGATGGGGCAGCCGTTGTAACTATACTGAGACCTTATAACTTATATCTCATGGGTGTCACATTTACGTTGTAGATGACTATGGGCTTCGGTACCCACTTAACACCAGGTGGGCTGTGAGCTCGTCCACACATCTAGGCAATAAAAAAAAATAAAAAAATAAAAAATAAAAAATCTCGGGTAACCAGGTGTTCCATGACGCTGGGAATCTTTACTAAATATTGAATTATTTCGTTTCCAGGTACATATGTCGTGAAGCAGTGATGACACGTCTCCGTTCTTGACAAAAATGGCGATCCGGACATCTCTCGTTCTGCTTTGCTTCACGCTGGTAAGCTTCTATTGTCACTTAGCTCTGTAGTCTTTAGAACTTCATGTTGAACGCTTAGAGAGCGAAGAAGTTTCCTCAACATCAGACAGCGAATTGGTTGTGCCCCTGACATTGGTCATGCCTATGACAAACACTTTTTGGAACGAAGTTCCTTATGGGACGATGCGGACGGGTGCCCTAACCGGGGAAAAAACGTCCGTAACGTAAGATTTTTATTACAGTACAGTGTACGACTTAACTTTGTAATAACGTACAAAAAATAACATATTTTTTTCTCACGATCTCAGAGCGTTCGTTTGCGCAATACACTAACTCTTATGCAAACAACCGTGAATGAAGTGTACCACAATAAGTTCGCACGTTACCGAATGACCGTGGGTTTTTGCCAAACCTCCAGTTTTATTTCCTTTATACCTCGAATAGAACTTAAATTTGATATTTTTATAATAAGGAACTGCGTTCCTATCCGGTGTCCCACGACACCAAACGTCTTTTTTTATACAGGCCGGGTGCCGATCCTCCTACGCGCCTAGGGGACCTAAGTTTGCCTACATTTGATTACGCTAGGGGCGCTGTTCTAACTGCATAAAAATTCGAGTTAACTTTTACGTTATCGACAACGTTAATAAACTCGCGAACTAAGCACAAAACAATACAGCGTAATTCGGTTTAGCAACAAACATGAGTACACGGAAAACAAGCGGTACACATCAAACGATACTAACGATGTTTTAAAATATAATTACGTATGAAATTATAAGCCATTTTGCATTCCGAGTGCAATCGTCGACGGTCGCAGACTTCACTGATCGTAGACATGGTACGCATATTTTTAATATATTTTTTTAATGCCGTATAGGCAGACGTGCATACGACCCACCTGTTGGTGAGTGGTTACCGTCGCTCATGGACGTTAGCAATGCCCGGGGCAGAGCCAAGCCGCTGCCTACCGTTAATTATACATGTTGAACAAAATAAAATATAAATAAAATTGTATATTTTCATTTCTGAAAATCAACATATTTTATAGTAATTTCAGGATTGTATTAAGAAAAAGGACAGAAGAATTTTTTTAATGTTTTAATTATTAAAGTGCAAAAATTTAATTTTAATTACGATTTTTTATTTACCACGTCTAAGGACCACCAGGGCCTCCAGGGGTAGCCACTTACTATCGGGTGGGCCATAAGCTAGTCTGCATATATGGGCAATAGTAAAAAATCTCGAACACTGGCAACAAACTTAAAACAAGAAGAAGAAAAACTATTGTATAAAATTAAATAGCACTTTTGTCGCGTGCCACTGGTTCGTCGATTCCTAGCTCTGTAATATTACGGCCCTGTTTAATTTGTTTTGTATGCAAATTGCTTGGAACTTACAGCGAACGTTCATGTTTCAATTTATACCGTTTTGACACCTCAATAAGACCGTAATTCAGTGCCGCAGTTCCATTAAGACGTAGTTACGTCAATTATCGAACTGACAATTATGAACTTTAATCCTTTCTGTTTAGCGTATATATTACGGTTAATAAAAACATAGGACTATCAGTTATACGAATTTAATAATTGAAAATAAAAATCGGCACAATTTACATACCATTCGCTAATATTATTACATGCCCTTCATTTTGGGACTAAGTCGATTAATATAATTATTGCCTTCGGGTATACAGCATACAGCGCACTCGATGCTGAGTGGTCACCAAGGCTCATGTACATCAGCCAAGCCAGGAGCTCACGCAAGTCGCTCACGAAGCACCATGGCTGGAATTCCAGAGCTGAAAGATACGGAACGATAGAAGGTCTCTTGAAACGCACTGATTTCGAACATCTGGCAGACTCGACTGCTACCTGTCGCCCTGGCCAGACGCAGGTTCTCACGGGTCATGTTTTATTTATTTTTTATGACTGAGAGTCTACTGGTGGACCTGAGGCCTTTCCAGTTTCACAAGGACAGGTGGGCTAGCAAGGGCTCAGCCAGAAGGGGCGGGACTTGCCAACAGCTACCCGAGCGCCTCCAACGGAGACCTAACAACTCAAGAGCAGCTGCTTCACGAATGAATCTACTACCGGATGGATCGGAATCGCGACCCGCTGAGAAGATCCGGCGAGAAACTCAACGGGCTGATGCTTAGGTTAGGTTGCACGTCGAACTGAGACATGGACTTATGTATGATACTTTTAGAACATTTAACCACGGTCTACCGATAAGAGGACGCAATAACTCTTTAATAACAAAAGACTTATTAAAGACTAACATTTTTTTTTATTGCTTAAATTTTATTGCTAACATTTGCATCTCGGCCGCGTGCATTCCTCTTTCATTCTTTACTTTCGTCATCCAACATTCAGATCTATACATAAACTTAGAAAAGATTAAAAGAAAACATTCCTATGCAATAATTATTATGAAGCCGCCAGCGATGTTGAACAATTCGTTAATGTTTTCAAAGCGGTCTTCCCCCTCTCGAAATTACACTTATAAATAATTTTTAATATCCCTCGCCGAAGTACTAAAAACCGTAATGGACGTTTGATTAATTGTTTATTTTGAAAATGTATGTTTTTTACTTTTTTTTGACGTCCCTGGCTTGATTTCTTCATTGGGTGAGCAAAACGAATCCAGGGTTTACCTTGAGTACACTGATTACTGAAACCTAAATATCACCGTAAGCTAAATCGTATTGTAACAAAGATTCAAATGTCTTTAGACGGTCAATGCTGCGCGCCGAAAACTGTGTCTCAAAGTCACAAGGTGGGTGACCACATTCAAGCTGTTGATGTCCATGTGCCCCGGTAGCAATCCAACAGTAAGCCCCTGTACGAGTATATTAAGTAACTAGCTTTTGCCCGCGACTTCGTCCGCGTGGAATAGTTCACAAATAATGCTTTATTTTAAAACAAATTTGGTTAGCATAAAAAACGTTATAGTGAGCCAACCTTAACATATAGACATACGCTGTCACGGACTTTTTTTTTAGATCTTTTAAAGGGGAACAATTCTGTCGTACATTATTTTAGCGAACTTTAATCGTTTCTGCAGCGCACGCAGCGGAAGCTCTCAAAAGGGAAAAATAACCCCAATTTTTAAACATTATTTATTGGTGCTCCGCTTGCATTGGTCTTAGCGTGATGTTATATAGCCTATTAGCTTTCCTCGATAAATGGGTTATCTAACACTGAAATAATTTTTCCTAGTAGTTCCTGAGATTTGCGCGTTCAAACAAACAAACTCTTCAGCTTTTTATTGCCCCTGTAAGCAGACGAGCGTACGGCCCACCTGATGGTGAGTGGTTACCATCGCCCATGGACTTCAGAAATGCCAGGGGCAGAGCCAAACCCACGCCTACCGCTTAATACTCTCCACAATCCTCGTTTGAAGAAGGACATGTCATAGCGCTCGAGAAGCACCGTAGAGGGAGTTCATTCCAAAGCCGGATGATACGTAGCAAAAAAGAGGCGGAGTGGTGGTACTTAGGCATATAGGCATCACAAGACGTCCTACCAAATGAAGTACTTTTCACCCGTCAAACAAAACGCACGTACTCTTCATGACAAATTGATCTTTTTTTATTGCTTAGGTAGGTGGACGAGCTCACGACCCCTAATGTTAAGTTGTTACCGGAGCCCATAGACATCTATAACGTAAATGCCGCCACCCACCTTGAGATATAAGTTCTAAGGTCTCAGTATAATTACAACGGCTGCCCCACCCTTCAAACCGAAACGCATTACTGCTTAACGGCAAAAATAGGCAGGGTGGTGGTACTTACTCGTGCGGACTCACAAGCCGTTAACATCAGATCAGTAATAGCTCTACTTGGGGACCATACTCACTACACTAAGCGCTACATTCCACTTCGTCCAGCTTAAAACAAATCTGTCCGCTTCAAAAATCATGTTGCCCCTACAATATCGAGCGTAGCAAAGAAAACGCTAAGAGCCCGTTCTTGCTCAAATATCAACGTGAGTTAAAGGAGGGCAATCAGTCGCGGGGACTGCGTTTGTATAATTCAATCAGTATGTATTCACTTGAGCGTTCCGTTTTGCTGCAATCAAAGGCAATAAAACTACAATTCGTAGCTTCTTTTAAATTTTTATTTCAATCTGTATTTTTGTAGAATTTATTTAAGGCTTTGTTGCCTGATGTTTGTTGTCAAACAACACAAGTACCCTTTGAGAGAATATTTTAATTTGAATTTTGAAGATTCTTGTCAAATATATATACTATAGACTAGCTCGAGGCCTACCAGCTGTTAAGTGGGCACCGGAGCCCATCCACAACGTAAATGTCGCAATACACCTTGATACATGAGCTGTTCTAAGTCTCAGTTTTACAGTAGTGGCTGCATCACACTTCAAACCGAAACGCATTACTGTTTGGCGGCCAAATTAGGCAGAGTTGTGTTACATACCCGTGCGGGTTCACGAGATGACCAACCACTAATTTATACAACTAGAGGCCCTCGCAGTAGTCGAAATTCGACTATAATTAATTGAAATTGTAAGCTTGTACACTATTATGATTGTATTTTATACTTCTATAATCACAAATTTCGCCAAGACTACGCTATATAAAATATTAACAAAGACAAACAATATTTAATCTATTCTCAATTTGACTACAGACGTCAAGAACAATAGTTTGACAATAAATAAATGTGTGCGTCAAATACATGGTATGTAGTGTGTGTAATGTTTTCTTTATTGATTTAATGTATCTTTTTGCATTATTTTAAAAAAAATTAGCATTGTGCACTTCTTTATATTTTCTATAAGTGTGGAAAATTTCATACTCCTCCGTCCGCGCAATTTTCGTAAAAAGGGATACAAAGTTTTTGCTTCACGTATTAATATATAGATAACACACCTTATACAACCTATCACAATTTAAGTCTCGAATAATGTATGCAAATTTAACATTAACATACAAATATTAAACAATCATTGAATTGGAACAGACTTTGAGTCTGTATTATTTTATCGTTGAACTTGGCC